AAGTGATACAGTCCATATCGAAGAATTAAGGCGTTGGCACCGGGTCGACTTCGGAAGACCCGTAATCCCCGCCTGAACCTATTTTCTGAAAAGGAAGAGGTTATCGCCCTTGTGTGTTACTCCGTTGCGGAGATCACATACGTTGTTCCCGAACCCAACGTAGGCGTTATAGGAGGCCGGATCGAGAGAAGCCTCGATTCCTCCCTTCTGTTTCTTAGTTAATGTTTTTCTGGTTCCTTTTCAACCACATTACTGAGACTGAACCTACTTATAAATGTTTATATAGGACCTATGCATACATATATTGATAAAATAAATATATATGATATAGGTATAATACAACCAGTGGCGAAGCTAGAGCTCCAAGCTAGGGCTAGCCCAAGATATAAATTGATAAATAATAGATTGTTGTTTTTAGCAGTTTTATAAAAATACACCAATCTTGATCTGTCTCCACGCTTCAGTTTCATATTCAGTGCTGTCAAGGATGTGTTTAACAAAGCACACAGAAGGCATACCACTGCTAGATAGATTGTATTACATATCAGCAATTGCATAGCTTCGGTGGCTTTGAAGAAAGCCGTTTGGGTTTGTTTAAGCGAAAGAAAAAAAATATTTACATCCAATACAATACATGAACAAAAGTAAAACACGAACAAAGTAACAAACTATGTACAAAATTAAAAAAAAATTATTTACATTCTAATGGATAAGAGAAAGATAAGATAAGTGGAATCGTCTCGTTTTCTTATGGCAAGATTTAATTACGTCCACGTAAAATGTTGGTGAATATTTTAATTGTACCAATAACTGTTTTTAATTGAGATAATTGATAAGTCTGAAATACACTCTTAACCTTGTGTATTATCTCAACAAAGTTTAAAGATTTCCTCACCGATTATCACTTTAACACACTTCAATTCATCACAAGGAACGCTATTATCCTCCATTTTCATTAAAATCTTTAAAAAAAGCATAAATTTTGAACTCGTAATATTAAAAAAAAATATTTACATCCAATACAATACATGAACAAAAGTAAAACACGAACAAAGTACAAACAAACTATGTACAAAATTAAAAAAAATATATTTACATTCTAATGGATAAGAGATAAGATAAGATAAGTGGAATCGTCTCGTTTTCTTATGGAGAGATTTAATTACGTCCACGTAAAATGTTGGTGAATATTTTAATGGTACCAATAACTGTTTTTAATTGCGATAATTGATAAGTCTGAAATACACTCTTAACCTTGTGTATTATCTCAACAAGTTTAAAGATTTCCTCACCGATTATCACTTTAACACACTTCAATTCATCACAAGGAACGCTATTATCCTCCATTTTCATTAAAATCTTTAAAAAAAGCATAAATTTTGAACTCGTAATATTAAATCGCTTAAGATAAGCACACAGAGTAAATAAACATTGAAACGTGAAATGAACTTGCAAACGTATTGCCCGCGCGCCTCCGCTTTTAACAAATTTATTCCCAAAAGCCTGGCTTTAAATCTCTATACTAATTGCTGTATATACAATCGTAGTTATATTTCATTATAGAATATTTTGCTATAAGTTAAAAAGAGAGCGATCGTCTTCTCGAAAGCCCCGTAAAAAGCCCACGCGAGCGAGAGAGACAACTATTAGCTCTATTAAAACTCATTTTTTATGACAGCAGCAGTATCGCTAAGGCAATACGAGGTCATCGGTCGACATGTGTCGAACAGTGGAGTGCGCGGGAAATTTGAAATAGCTTGAAACATTTTACGAGTTATTTTATTAGTTGATATTATTGATTGATTCGGGTTTAATAAGGCAAGCTAGGCTTTTCGGCTTTAATAGAAGCTTCGCCACTGAATACAACATATATATCATGTATGATAGTTACATGGTAAAGAAAACGAGAATAAAAAAACTATGTTATGTAATTACTTTAAAATTATTAAATTACTACCTGTGCTGTTAAAGATTGGTATTTAAAATGACGTCACCCCTATCATTGCTCACTTGCACTCTGTCGCTATGTATAGTTACACCCATAGGTAATTACTGCAAAAAAATACATTGCTATATTAGTTTTTTGTATGTTCTATAACTTTAGTTCAACTTTTCGTTGGAATCTATGACAGCAAAATGCCATAAAATTATTCAGTCCGGTTTTGCTAATTTGTGATCTATGCAGCATTTTGAAAGTTTTCTTTATAATTATTGTTGATTTTTGTTTGTTAATATTTTGTATAAAATATTTACCATGCTATTGAGACATGATAACCTTTTTCAAAATTTTTTGGTCTGTCCATGCTAATCTTCGGAATGGCTGACCCTATTGCAATAAAACTTTACGAACAAATAGCGATTAACACCATGAGTGATCTAGACTAAATGTCATCTCTAGATAAAAAAAATGATCTATAATGATTATTTTAAGTCTAAACACCTAAAAAAAATTTAATGAACCTACTTGCGCACATTCTTTTCCAATATTTATCCATTAAGTAATAGAAAACTTTCAATTTTAATGATGTACCATTATTTAGCGGATTTTCGATATTGATACTGTGCATGATGACAGTCTGGTATGGACTCAATGAGCTGCCATTATAATCCCATTCTTTATCTGTACAGACTGTAATAAAAAAAACTACAAATCGTATATAAATACTTTAATGTATTCATTTAAACGCATGATTGCCTAGTTGTCAAAATTCGACTGTAATTCATAAAATTTTTTAGGTTTGTATATTAAGTAAGCTGTATTTTACTATCATCTGTATATAATTTTTTTTATATATCTAGTATATAAAATATAAAATAAACGCTTTATTGTCTTGGCATACACTCCACGAGGTAATGCACACCAATACATAGTATAGCAAAAAAACGCACCACTTTTACGTATAACCACTTCAAACCACTATTTATTCAATAAAACTGGAGCAGCTATTCGCCGGTGGTTAAGTTTTCGGCCTTAAGATTTCTACTTTTTAAAATATTGGCTAATGAAATCCAAATCGTGCCAGCGGACGCCCTGTAGTATAAAGTATCCTGGCTGTATTTCTGCTACAGTAACCCTAATCAGATATGACTAAACTTAAATTTAAGTGTTATGGTGTTTTTATTATAGAATAAGGGTGACAAACGAGCACATGGTCCACCTGATGGTAAGTGGGTGCCGTGGTTCATTGATATTTACTTTAATGTTTTGAGCGCCAAAGTCGCCTATATTTGACAAGCACCTGCGGGCCCTGAGCGCCAACGACGTCTATAGTTGACAAAAAACCCGGCCCACAAAAATATGAAATATAGATATTGAAAAATTATTATTGGTATTTTAATTCTACACTCCTCAAAAAAGAATAACCCAGTAACATGTGAGTATAAAAAACAAGTCTCCTGGAGCTACAAGTATTAAGAAACATTGAACTAAAAAAATGGATTTTTATCTAAGCAAATACTATGTCCAGCACCCCAAAGTCGTCTATGTTTGACCGCTAGGGGCGAACTCGGACGGCATAGATTTCTTAAAAACTATCCAAAATTCAGCTCAAACGTGTTATTTTTTTCTATTATTATTGCTATTTGAATAAAACAAAAGGGAAGAAGCATAATACTATAATTAGCTACATGAATAAAAAGATGTTATCAAATCATCTTCGCATAATGAATCTTATATCTCAACTCTGGCGGATCCTTAGTGCGTCATCGAAAATCAGTTCACTGGGCGCCGTGGTCAAGGATAGACGACACCCTGATGACGTCATAAGTGATTAGCGTGAAAAGTAGTACAGTGCAACATGAACAATTCCTCAGGACTCATTCGCATTTTGTTTCGTCGATGATGATGACGATGATGAATTTTTTTATTTTAATAATATAAAATTACAAATAATAAATGTGTTTTTTTTTTTACTTAAGGTATGAAGAGCAATTTTTCATTTTGTGTTGTGCGATTTTCTTTCTCAATCTCAAAATCATCAAGCAGCATCAGCATCATATCAAACTCCCATTGTCATAAGAGCGTAAGACTTTTCTTCTGCGTTTCACTTGGCCTACGCCTCCCCCGACCCATTAGATCGATTTCGAAATCGATACACAACGTGCGACACGGCTACATCTCTAAGAAAGTTTCAAGAAGCAAGGTCAGCATCAAGCGTGGTCAAGTGACGTCATCACGAGTGAGAGTAGTGCTGTGGTTTACTACTATTTTATTATTGTTGTTTGTTTTTTATTTATGTACAAAGTACATATATGGTTTTTTTATTATTATCTTGTGTTATCGATATATATCAACTCTTGGCAACACTATTTTTTTCGTAGATATTTTTGTTTACTTTTCGCTTTGGCGTACAGGACACGGTAATGCTTTTTTGGCGTGGCGCTCAAAAGGTTAATTAAGAATCAAAATGCAGATGCATTGCTACTCCTAGGGACTAAGATGCAATTATAAGTAAAAAGAGTTTCCAGTTCTCTACACTCACCATACAACACAGCATTAAGCTGCTATTTTATGCTGGTATTCTACGAGAGCGTGGTCTTAGTCTGGTCGAGCCAACCCATTCATGTTGCAGCCATCAAATAGCAGCATTTCTCTACCACAAAAAAAACACCTTTTGTTGATGACCAAACAGTGTATGTAGTCTGTTCACAAAGATGGCACTAATTATTTTTCTTTAATTTTTTTTATTGTGTTTAAATGATTGTTTTTTTCTTCTAAGAGAAAAATAGTACTTTTTTATTTTTATGGTAAGGTGTTATTATTATATTGTTTATATTTTTATAGGTTATATAAGTTAGATAGCAACGAACCTTTCAGTTTGGCGCTTAGTTTCTCCTGAGTGTGTATGCCGCACGCGACGACCTCTCATGTCGCGGCGGCGCTTTGGATAGAATCAAGACACAAAGGCGACCGTATCTAAGTGAACAGACTATATCTGATGTTAGTGTTAATTGCGTAGACACATTTTGTCCTATACCAACACCTGTGCAACCATGTTTAGGTGGGCAGCGCGGCTGGTGATGGCGAGGGCGAGGGTGAGGCGGAGGGCGGGGAGGGCGCCGATGGAGAGAACAAGGCGGAGGGCGAAGGTGCCGACTCGCTGGCGTCTCCGCGATCTGGCCTCGGTGCACGCTGCGTGCTGTGCCGTGTGGCGCTGGCGCACGCCGAGGGCACGCCCAAGCTCATGGAGTGCCTGCACTCCGCCTGTGAGCCGTGCCTCAAGTCCAAGCTCGACGAGAAGCTCTCCGCCAACCGCGACTTCCTAGGTAACCTACTTACAGGCTATTTATACGTCCTACAGCTGGTCATCCATCCATCCATATCGTCACAGCCTATGAAGGTCCACTGCTGAACATCGGCCTTTCTATAGGTCGCCTCACTGAGGGGGGGGGGCGGGGTGCCATACTTGGCACGCTTGGCAGACGTGTTCGCAACCGCAGTTTTTATTTTCAGTTGTTCTAGTAAGATGTTGCTGTACATCACCTGTTTCGATTTCCCTCTGCCGCTTCTAACGACAGCCGCAGCACGATACGGGCTCAGTGGATGTTCTTACGCTGCCACTGTACGGCTGCTCCGTGTACCCACAGTAACTCATCCAAATTCATCTATTGTTCTTTATTACAATAAGAATCACAGCGTTCGCATGTATTGTTACTAATACGGTTATATTTTATCAATGTCTATTGTTTGCAAGGGTGCGGGATTTAGGCAACAGTACAAAAATAAAAAGAGCGGCACGGCATTCGTGGCCTCCTAACTGCTATTTAACCATTAAGTTTGTGGGGGATTATCTTGTATTGCCATTATAATGCCATTTATAAGAGGGTTCAGAGCAAAAGTAGTAGTTAATGTACACATAAAACATAGTAATAAATTTTTGTTTAATTAGTAATATGTATTAGTTATGATTTTTTTTAAAGTGTATATATTTCTATTATTACGTTAGAGCCCGTGATTATAGTTACGTTTATTTTAATGCATTTATGGCTCTGGCGTGTACTGAAAACCAGCGTTATAGTTACCGCTATAATGGTTTCTATAACATTTGTGCTGAGTAGACGTCATTTTAGTCCCTTAATTATTAACTCCCTTTGCAAACAAAGGGGTGCTGTATGTTGTATGTGCTGTATGTTTCGAATATATTTTTAGCCGTTTGAATATCATCAGCTCTTTGTTTCGGGGGGTTTTTAAATTTTAAATTTAAGTTATCTTGTGTTTGTGTTAACGTATATTTATATTAGAACTAAATGTATTATATTATTGTTAAAAAGTAGGAAAGTGGTTGCTGTGCCTCATACACACCTACATTTATCTTCAATTAAGAATGAAAATGCAGATGCGTTGTCGTATTTGAGGATTAAGATGGAACGCCTCAATACCAGTAATAAGGGCCATTGGTTTTCACACTTATCGTATGTATCACATGAGCTATTATTTTACGCCGGTATTTTGTGAGAGGGTGATCGTTCCTCGCTCGCGCTGACCAATTCATGCTACAACCACAACGTAGCTGCAACGTAGCTTTTCCTTGTATAAATAAATCTACCACATGTGAAAATGTACTTGCATACTGTGCTGCCTTGGACCTGCAGCCCAGGTTTGATAATGGAACAAGTAATCTATGTCGGACGTTCCAAGGTCAAAAAGTTTGTGGCATAAGAACAATACAACTGTGGTCAATTTCGTTCTTATTTTTTAAATTACGTTATAGTGTGGTCAAGTACCGCGATTAAGGTTTACGGAGCAAAAGAAACCTGTACAACAGTTGTAAACACAGACTAAGTTGCGTCTTCGATACTATTATAAACATTATTATGATCACTTTCAGCTTAGTATTATCATTAATAATGTCCACCAGACCGAACTTCGAGCGCGGCGGCCAGTCTCAACAAAGACTAGCCATCTGCGTTGGCAGGATTATAGTGCTTAAGTGTATGTGTATCTTTATTCTATAATAAAAGCGCAAGCACAGGTGCACTCTCATGGTCCTACAGGACGGTAACCCGACTCGACGGGAAATCAGGCGCAGTTCCTACAGCTTTACATGCTATCCGAGCCAAGGGGGGGGGAGGTAAACACCGCCAAGTTCCTGTCTCTTGTTGCTACTGAGAACTCTTGACAGAAAAACCCAATAACTGATTTTGGCTTGTCCCGGTATTCTAACCCAAGACAACCACCAGGCAACCGCGTTTACTTAGCACCACTAGACCAAAAAGGCAGTCAAATTATTATTAGTTATTACTATCGACTTATAATCAACCAAATCTAAGAAATACGTTTTGACAGCTGTCGTACTTATTGCACCAAGCGTACCAACCAAAAAATTGGAAAGTACAATATTCGATTTTTAAAAAAATCGATATCGATTATTTAGGGTTTATAATCATATAAAGCTTGTTATGAATAATACCAGAATAAATTAAAAATTGTTAATTTTGAAACAAGATTTATCAGTTTCTTCGTATTTGTCGTTAGTACTTACTTCTAGCGGCAAAGTTACAAACATTTAAGATTTAAACTAGATTAAAAATAAATTAATTCAATTACTTTCGGTACAAATAGTTGAGCTGTCGTTGTTTAGATTAATCATTATCTAATTTTCAATAATGCAGTCAAAATTAATGTCTGTTTCAAAGTCATCCATAATCATTTTTTTACGTTTTTCTTCCAATGTTGCCCAATCATCCTTTGTGACATGAGCACATGCTTCAACGAATATAGAAGAAACAGTCCAAAAAGTTAAAGCTGAGTCACAGAATAAGAAGACATACATAAAATCACAAAATTACGCATAGTAAGCTCCAGAATTGGCGAGAGATTGAAATTACGTAGTGGTTTTTTCAGCGCGGCGTTGTATTATGAGTTTTTATACCTACACAAATTCACGTTGAAAAAGTAAAAAAATAAGCTTGTTTTATTCATGATTCATGTAATTTAAGTATTTTTTTTTAAATAAAAATTTAATTAAACAAATAATACACTAAAAAAATTAATGATCCGATTATTTGAATGTTTTTACCGATTATTTGAATATTTTTGCCGATTATTTACATAACTATGAATTTTAATCATCCAAACACTACGGTAAAGTACATAGCGACATATTATTGAATCGACGACAAGTAAAAAAGTAGATACTGGTTATTTTTTTTTAATATTTTCTTATGTTTGATGAAAACCTATACATCATCATCATCATTACAGCCCTTCACAAGTTCACTGCTGAACATAGGCCTCCCCCAAATAATGCCACAAAGCACGGTCCTGAGCCACCTGCATGTCTTACCAGGTCGTCACTCCATCTAGTGGGGGGTCGCCCTACACTACGCCTACCTATACGAGGCTGCCATTCGAGAACCTTTCTTCCCCATCGGCTATCGGTTCTTCGAGCTATATGGCCGGCCCATTGCCACTTCAGCTTACTAATCCGTTGGGCTATGTCGGTCACTCTGGTTTTACTCCGTATGTCCTCATTTCTGAGTTTATCACGCAGAGAAACTCCGAGCATAGCCCTCTGCATAGCTCGCCATAGACTTTGAGCGTCCTCATACGGCCAGCAGTGAAGAACCACGTCTCAGATCCATAAGTCATCACTGGCAACACGCACTGATTGTACACTTTAGTTTTCAGAGTTTGAGGTATACCTGACGAGAAAGTGTATCGTAATTTCCTGAACGCTGCCCAGCCGAGTTGAATCTGTCGATTGACCTCTCGGTCGAAGTTGGACTTACCTAGTCGGACTATACGTCCCAGGTAAACGTATTCTTCAACAACTTCGAGCATAGTGCTCCCAACAACTACCGGCATAGGTGTGACATGGACGTTAAACATGATCTTTGTTTTGTCCATCTTCATCTTAAGACCTATCCATTGGAAGACACCATTGAGGTCATTGAGCATAGTGCTAAGGTCCTCCAGCGATTCTGCCATAAGGACTATATCGTCGGCAAATCGAAGGTATGATGTACTCGCCATTGATGTTAATACCATATCCTTTCCAGTCCAGTAGCTTGAAAACGTCTTCCAACGCAGCGGTGAAGAGTTTCGGGGATATAACGTCACCATGTCTTACACCTGTATGCAGTTGGATAGGTTTCGAACTCTGGTTCTGTACGCGGATAGCCATCGTAGCCCTAATGTACAAACACTTCAGCACTTCGACATACCGACAGTCAACTTGGCACCGCTGAAGGGACTGTAGCACCGCCCAAATTTCGACGGAATTAAAGGCTTTTTCATAGTCCACATACGCCAGGCAAAGTGGCAGATTGTACACTTCAGTCTTCTGTACAATCTGCCGCAGGGTATGTATGTAGTCTATGGTACTGTAGCCTTTTCGGAAACCGGCTTGTTCGGGAGGCTGGAAGTCGTCGAGTCTGCGTGCGAGACGATTCGTAATGACTTCGAAAACAGCACGTAGATGCGGCTCAGACGGGAAATCGGTCGGTGAAGCTTCTTCAAGAGAGAGTTATCGCCTTTCTTAAAGAACAAGTCCACCGCACTTCTGCCCCACGCCTCCAGAGTAGTGCCACCATGGAGGACGGAATTGAAGAGCTTCTGAAGGACTTCAAGTACCGGTGTTCCACCCGCTTTCAGAAGCTCCGCTGTAATTCCATCCTCTCCTGGGGCCCTGCCGTTTTTAAGGTGCTGGAGAGCCATTCTAATCTCGCTCAGACTGACGTCCAGGATATCATCGGAATAGTGTCGGATAAGACTTGCTCTTGGATCGTTACTCACACTTGCTTGTCAATCTCACTCAAAATCTCAGGTGTCCCGGAAACGATGCTGCCGCATTCAGTCTTCAGCTTTGACAGTTGGCTCTTTCTGGCAGACAGATCTCTGGCAAAGACTTTGGAGCCCTGGTTCCGCTCGATCCCTTCTTTAATACGAGTAGTATTAAAGTTGCGTAAGTCTCGCCGCATGTATTTGGAGATCTGTCTGTTCAGTTGCCTGTATGCTGTCAAATCTGTTGACGATTGCAGCCTCATCTCCCGTCTAACAGCCATGAGATTAAGAGTGTGATCGGAGAGTTTTTGTGTTCTTCTGCGGCGGGTCTTGCAGAACTTAGCTCCGAGCGCATGGACAGTTTCCACGAGCTTGTCATTCATATCGTCCACTGCTTTGAAATCTTCTAGGCACTGAAAGTGGTACGTAACTCGAGCTGAAAGGTTTCGGGATTCTGGATTAGAGCACGTGGGGGACAGAACGTTGACTTCATTAGACGAGATCTCTCCAACTTAACGTTTAGGTTCAGTGTGCCTCTAAC